CTGTTTTATACACATTTACAGGAGATACAGTTGAGATTGAGGGATAGTGGAGAGAGTATAGGGAGAGTGGAGAAGTTACAGGGCCGAATAAAAGGCAATAAAAGAAAAAGAATTTTTATTCTTTTTCTTCTCTAATAATGGGAAGATGTGTTCTTTGGTTGTCCTCGCAAATCAATCATGAGCTGTGACGTACTACATCATCTCTTCTCGACTAAAAGAAATTTCACCAGGGAGGGTCAAAAGGGAAGAGAGACATCTTGAGTATGTATGGGGATCAAAAGTTAAATCCTATGCTCGATAAAGCTATTTTCTTTCATCCAAAATTTCATCTTTCCCTTCCTTCTTTATACTCGACTCTTTCTTTTTGTTCAATTTTTCATTTCATTCATCCGTTCATCCTGTTCCCAGTTGTGTGGACTATTATGGTTTACTTTGCACAACTTTTTTTATTTTATTTTACTAAAGGAGGGATTGACTAAAAACGAAGTTTCGTATTAGGGTGGGGACGTTGGGTGATTGAACCGATGTTTGATATCGATCCATCCGTAAATAATCTGAACGATTGTGGATGGATGACTGATGTGAGTGAATTATGGGTCGATAAATCTCATAACCGCACTTATTTGAATGAATGGTGGGTGGATTGAGGGTCATCTGGATCTTGCACCGATTATTCACATGGCAAAAAACTGTTTCTATTTGTTACAATCATATTTTCCTAAAAGCAACACACACTAACCATCGACTTCTATAGTCAAAATACAGACAAGGATGACAGTGGGTCGGTTTGAGGACTAACATTGTATATTCCTTATCCTGCCCCAACTAGTTTGGGTTTTTCCATACTATTATACATACAAGATTCGGGCAAGTAAATCAAAATTGCATCTTATCCATGATTTCGATTATGATGGATATGCGGATAACCGTTATTTTTTAAATTTTTTTACTATTTATTCATATTATACAGGTCTATAGGTCAACAAGTTTAAGAGAAATAATAAAAAGAACAAGAATTCAATGAATGTTATATCAATACTACTAATATCAAATATGTAGGGAGAAAATGATAATTTATAGAAAACTATACATAAGCAACTATAATGAGGTAGGTTCGGGTTGGACGTTGGACAATAGGAAAAACCATACTTTCCGATCACCCATTATATTCAAGTTCAAATTTAGGGACAATAAAACCTTCTAATACATGTCCTCAACAATAGTGAGAAGTGGAAATACAACTTTTACTTTTCTATCCAACTTGGGATGTGTACATTTAAGGAAAATTAAACTTCCATCAAAGAGAAGCAAATAAAATGTTTTCATAAAATTTCTCGTAGAATCGATAATACAATTTTCGTCATTTACATATCAGATCATGAATTAGTAACTGCATCCAATCTCAAACAAAATCCTAATTGATTCGAACATGTTCCTTTTTAATGAAATATTAATGGAATTCCCGATGTTTTTTTCCCTTCTATTGATAGAGTAGAAGTGGTAAAAGATAGCTTAAAGCACATTGCATAACTAGATGCGACAGTCGACAACTAGTCGAACTGTCCATGAGAGGTCGTGGTTCACCACTAAATGGACTAGATTAAACCAATGTGGAGTAAAAGTTGAAGCAAAATGACCAAAAAACAAAAAAAGCTGGCAAACTTCCTCAAAAAAGCGCCTCCCAATGCATGCTCCGCCTCTTATGCCGCCACTAGTCGAATAAGAAATTTACGGTCCCCACAAAAATTAACCACATGTCCACATCAAATAAACTTATAAAGAAATTGACAGACATATATTTCGCGAAGGTTGTTGCTACTTTAGATTCTGTTTTCTCGTTGACTACGCGTCAGGTTGCTTTGTGCAAGTCCCAGCAGAGTGCGCACTCTTCTGATTGGTTGCGTGTTGTTCCTATTGCTGGGTTGGGTCAGACTATGAATGGAATGACATATCGTAGTGTGCTTAGTTATCGACTGGGTGTTCCATTATTTTTTGTATCTAGGCCCTGTTTTGCTTGTTCTCGTGTCTTTGATGGTGATGTCTTTGGGGATCATGTTGTGTCCTGTGCTGGTATTGTGGGCATTATCAGCATAACCTCGTTCGAGACACCTTACTGGACATCTGTTACAGGTCTGGGATTTATGTCGGAAAGGAGGTTGATATCGGTTTGGTTGATGGGCATGGCGGACCCCTTCATCCTGCGGATTTGCTACTTTATTCCTGGGATAGGGGGCGAGATGTGTGTATTGATATGACTGGGTCTTCACCTTTGACTCAGACTGGGATGACCGATTTTGCACCAGGTCGAGTTGTTGCTGATGCTGCTCGGCAAAAGTGTGCTAAGTATCGGGACTTGTGCATGGCGGCTGATTACGGGTTCCTGCCATTTTCTTTCTCTTCGCTGGGGGAGTTAGATACGGATAGGGATGGCAACGGGTCGAGTTGGGTCGGGTTTTGCCAAACCCAAACCCATGGGTTTATCTGTGAAAAAACCCCGGGGTAAAACCCACTGGGTTTGAAAAACTCAAACCAAACCCGTTGGGTATCCGCGGGTTCATGGGTACCCATGGGTTTTTATCGTAAAAAAATTATAATAACAAGTTCCTATCAAAATAAAAGCCAAATATCAATCTCTCAATAAAAATGGTCCATATATAAAACATCATTCTCGAAAATTCAAGTAAATCACAAATTAACCATACAAATTGTTCAACACCAATCTAGAGAACTCAAGAAAATGGGATCGGTTAGCATGTTAACCCTTCTAAGGGGTTCGAAAAATGACATACCTATTAATTACAGTTATTTTTTGTATTAAATTCGTGTTGCATTTAATAATCTTTGGAAATTAAAAACTCATCTTAATTACATTCCTTTTTTAACTACCATTGCACTGATACAACTACCATCGTACCTGTATACTGAACTCATATTAATTACGTTCCTTTTTTGGAACTACCATTGCACTGGCACATCTACCATTGCACTGATACAACTACCAGTGGGGAACGGATCAGGTCAATAACTCTATGGTCAGTAACCATGAGTAACGTGTCCACATCAGCATGACATCATTATCCTCTCTCTCCTGGAAAGTCTTTTATCTTTTCCCCTTTAATCTTTAACAAACGATTTCTCTCTCGTGTTAAGTCGAGTTTTTTTTTTTTTTTGCACAGATAAATCAGATTAAATGTGTTCTTTAAAATTATATTCACTTTGATATATTTTTAGGACAAAAGAAACTGAATAATTTTTTACCAGTCATTACCATATGATATGCTCCTATTTAATATCATATGGTAAGAAAGCGTACCATGATGGTATGAACATACCAATATGGTAAGAAGGTTGAATACATGATAGTAGGAGTATACTAACTGTCATTTACGACTTTCATCATTGTTTACTACAAGTTACCACTCACACACCATAGTGGTAAAGTATGATAATTTTTTATCCAATATTTTTTTTTCACCCGGAAATTTATAGATCCAATAGATCATGATGAACTTGTTCCTTCTGAGCAAACGTTTTCAAAAATGACTTAAAAACGAAGAAGTTACCATATGGTATGTAGTTGGTAAAAAAGATTCTCGAAATATATTGAAAATAGATCTCATTTTGTAGAGCACAACGAACTCGTTCTATCTGTGCAAAAAAAAATTAAAATCCGAGTTAGAACGAAGAAGATAAGAACCGATTAAGAAAACTAGGGAAAATAAAATGTCTTTAATTGACAACCCTTATATCTGAATTTTCTGGACCCACTTAGATCTAAAGGTCCAAATTTAGTTACTTATAGGTCAGTAACCAACTAACCATTGGTTACTGACCCTATCCTAAGCCCTACCGGTACACTGAAAAAAGAAAAATAATTAATATGTATTTTTAATTCATACCGATTATTAAATGCAACACAAATTAATTACCTTAAAAACCTATAATTAATAGGGGGTGTCATTTTTCCAACCCCTTTTAGGGGTAGGCATGCTATCTCATCCCCAAGAAAATTGAAGCAAATCACAAATTATCCATAAACAACATGATTAATTGAAACATTCTTTCTCCTTGTCAATTAAGTTTCTTCACTCTCCATTCTATAATATCAACTTCATTCTACACAATTAGAAAGAACAAATTTGACATGTCTCCACAAACATAAAGAAGATTAGTTGTTTAGAATATTTAATATACCGGGAAAATTAATTATATGGGTGTGGGCGGGTACCCATGGGTTGGGTTTACCTAAACCCAAAATCAATCCAACCCGGTGAATAGTGAACAGGTTTAAACCCGAACCCGATTGGGTCGGGTAGGATACCCGTGAGTTCGGGTTTTGTTGCCATCTCTAAATACGAATGTTGTTACTTTGCTTAAGCGCATCCAGAAATTCGTGTCTCAGAATGCGGGCTCGAGCGGCCGCGTTCATTTGCTTCACTAGTAATATCACTAGTACCACAATGAAATTCGAACCAGTTAAGAACAAAGCCCATGACTTCAGGCCCATAGCTATTGGGCCGAAAACAACACGTGTCGGCCGGGGCTACCAAACACAGCCCGTCATTTATCGGTTTATCCCATGAAACCCGGTGTTTTGACTATTGAGCAGCAAGAAGAATAATAAGATAAAATTAATAATAAATATGCCCTCCAGCTAATTTAATCTGTTTAGTGGTTGTTGTTTTGGCCTTATCCGCAAACTCAAAAACTTCCTGAGCGGACGACTGTTTACAGCTCTCAGTCTCAAGTCTCAACCCCCACATGCGTTACAGCGCGTACGCAACACTGCTTCCTACCATGTGACTCACCCGACGAACCTAAAATTTTAGTCTCATCGGTACGGTAGTATGTATTTACCCATCCAACGCACGCGCCGCCTTCTGAGGTCACGAAAGTCGGTCGACAGTCGACACCGTCCGTAAGACCCAAAAAAGTCCCTACGCGACCGGTAAAACCACGCGCCACGTCACATTAACCGCCGGCTCCAAACGTAATTCTTATCCTCTTTCTCTTCAACCACACGGAACTTTCTCTCTCTCTCTAATCCGAATCCCTCTGTTGCTCTCTCGATCTGTCAGAGCCAAGGGCTTTTCTCGCCATTCCTGTTCATTCCCTTCATCCGTCCATCCATGTAGAGCTTCTGTAAAGCTCGGGTTTCCTAGAAGTGGCCGTTAAATCTCTGGGATCGCGTGGATCGAACTCCTGCGGGGAGGATTGGATCAATTGGCGGAAAAATGGACGGGTCGTTCTTCGATCTGATGGAGCTGTTGAAGAACCCCTCCATTACCGAAACATTCGTCGATATTCTGCTCTGCGCCGTGCCGATATGGCTGGCCGTCATGATCGGGCTCCTGATCGGCTGGTCTTGGCGGCCAAGGTGGACCGGATTAGTTTTCCTAGGGTTACGGAGCAAGGTCAGGTTTCTGTGGACGGCGCCTCCCGGGTTCGGAGCCCGGCGACTCTGGTTGGCATTCACGGCTCTGTCGGCGTTCTCCGTTTGCCGCACCATCTGGTCCAACTTCAAGGGCAAAAGGGAGAAGTCAGCTGCGGCGGCTGCTTCTTCGTCTGCGTCGGCAGCTGCGGTGGATAGAAGCACGGAGCCATTTTCTGATTCTGCTAGGTAAGACTGTCCTCGCATCACCATTGTCAAAATGATTTCTTTGGGTGATCACTTTCTAGTGCGGTAATCTAGTTTCAGTTTAATGCTATGGTCAATTAGGGATGTTGGGCAGCTTGAGAAATGGAATGATTTGATGTAGTATCGGGGGAGTGGAAGTACTATGGTTAAGATAAAAATAAGTTCCTGGACAAATTGAACTGCTTGCTTGAATTGCTTTTTCTCTGATATCTAAAAAATAGGGATGACGGTGAATGTGGTATGCTTACCGCGATTGATTGTTGTATTCCATTCAACTTCCATTGTGTAGCTAACCGAGCCTCACCTTCTGTGGATGCACGACTAATTTGATTCATTAGAGTTTTTACCATGGATGATGCTAAACACATTGTTTCAGCCGACCTAGTCTTAGGTTCGAGTTGGTGCTAGCGGCATGTATTTTATTTGTCGAGCATGATGGTTTACTAGGTGCCATACTTACGGATGCTAAGTTTTTGTGGAAAGAATCAATTTTTGGCTGGAATTGAGCTGGCCTCTGGGTTTATGTTGCATCATATTTCTTTGTGCATGGAGAGGACATCCTGCATTCAATATATACAGAAGCAAGTTTAGTAGTATCCTTGGTCTCCTGAAATGGGTGGTTTGTAAACCGATTGCTGTTTTTCTTGTAGTTTCTTGGAGTCATGGTACTACAATTCATCATATGAAATGTTTTATGCTCGCTTCCATTGTGTTGTGAGCTCTCTTGTTTAGCTTGTTCTCCAGATTTCTCTGCTAGCTTGGTCATAGTAATTTACTCCCACTCTGGTCATGGTGTTTGAAGAATTCCCATAACCATTTCAGATTGGTTGATGAACAATGTATTTTCATACAGCTCCACAAGTGAAGCTGAGGAGAGGGAGTACCTTGTAACAGAGACTGACTTGGAACACCTATTGTATCTGCTTGAAGGCAAGGACAGTCAAATGGACTGGCAATGTTTTATGGAAAGAACTACACCAAACATGTCATACCAAGCTTGGCGCTACGAGCCTCAGGTAGAGTTGGAATTTCTGGCTTTCAAGTTTCTACTGCTTGCCGAAAAACAATTACCATAAGCACTTTCCTGGCTATGCATGAGTTGCAGGCATGTCTAGTGCTACTCAGACTATGGTTAAGTTTTTTGCATCTTCTTTATGCACCATCTGTATATTTTGTTCTGCAGCAATAAGTATTATTTTCAAAGCAGCACCTTTACTCTGCATCATGTTATTTACTTCTTTCTAAGTGAGACATTTGGGTTTGTGTTTTCAGACAGGTCCTCCTGTTCTACGAAGTCGGACTGTCTTTGAGGATGTGACTCCAGAGTTGGTCAGAGATTTCTTCTGGGATGATGAATTCCGTCCTAAATGGGACCCAATGCTTGGATACATTAAGATATTGGAGGAATGCCCTTCTACTGGAATAAGCATTTCTCATTGGATAAAAAAGGTTCGTTCATATAGTAATATCTGTCACTGTTTTTTTGGTGCCTTCTGCTTTTTTGTGGAAATCTAAGCATTTTCTATTCTACGTTGGTGAATAATTTGGAAGTTTTTTATTTCTTGTTCTGCAGTTTCCATTTTTCTGTAGTGATAGAGAATACATCATTGGTCGAAGAATATGGGAGGCTGGGAAGACTTACTATTGTGTCACTAAGGTACTGGTTTCGTTCCTAAGATTCATTTTCTAGCATATGATCTACTCTCTTCCCGGTTTCGGGTATCTTATTGCTGGTGTTCATTACATGACATTAAATGGAACATCTTTGCAGGGGGTGCCATACCCGGGCTTGCAGAAGCGGGACAAGCCAAGACGTGTCGACCTGTACTTCTCGAGTTGGGCGATTAGGGCTGGTAAGTAGTGGTGGGATAAATCCAGTTCTTACTATCTTCATCAGTTGAGTGGTCTAATCTTTAAAAAACCTCACTCTTCTCCTCTCTGACAAAAATCACTGCCAGTTGAATCTCGGAAAGGGGATGGGCAGATGTCAGCATGTGAAGTCGTCCTCGTGCATTACGAGGACATGGGGATCCCTAAAGACGTAGCAAAGCTAGGACTGCGTCATGGAATGTGGGGTGCGGTGAAGAAGTTGCATTCCGGGATGCGTGCATACCAGAATGCCAGGAAAGCAGCAGCAGATGGTTCATCGTTGTCCAGATGCGCGGCCATGGCCAAGGTCACCACCAAAATCACTCTCGATAAGAACAACACGGAGGAGTTGTCCTCATCGGCGGAAGGAAGTAGTGACAATGAAGGAAGCAAAAGCAGAGTGGTGGAGGGGCAAGGCAGGCAAAAGAAGGATCATCATGGGATTGATTGGAAATGGGTAGTGTTGGGCGGGGCGGTGGCTGTGGTATGTGGGGTGCGCTCAGGCGCAATTGGGAAGGCCTTGCTGCTGGGTGCAGGGCAAAGATTTGCCCGGAGGTGACTTTGACTGAGTGAACTGGTTTTTTGCATGATTTTCTGGAGAAAAACTGTATGTATTCACAATCCACCCATCCCATATATGTCTATCTGCGACCGAAGAAGCTTTTCTTCTCCATGGCAATGTAGATTGCCTCCTTATGATCATATTGTCGCAGTGCCATCGCATGGTCAATGTATTGTACTATTATTGCTACTATCTATCCTTCAAAATGTTATACTGTAGGGCTCAATTGGCAGCAGCAGTTGACAATGGCGGCCGGCTGGGTTTCCCGGCGGTACAGTCCATATCGTCACCGTCGCCTGTGTTTCCTCATTAAGACTCATGGGCCGTAAAACCGGGCCTTGGATTTGGATAGCAAATGGGACGATTGGGCTGATTTGACGCAGATCCATGGTTTGCTTGCTGCTGATCTTGGCCGCTATCGCTTATTTTACTGGTTTTCCATTGGCATCCTATCTAGGTCCGGAATAGCGCCGGTAAGAGGGCGACTGGGAGCATGTGCTCTAACGAGATTCGGCGACTGAGAGCAACCGGTATAAGCAAATTTTAATTTGTATCGTTAATTGGTTGTCTTGGGCATTATATGGGCATATTTCCTATAGTATTATTATCATTGTGACTTGAGTTTTGTGGACCTATAGTCTTAGCCCAACAATCGGTATTTCTGTTCTCTCATTCGCTCTGTTCGATACTAGTTATATAGATATGTGGATGAGAGAATCCACGGCGGAAGTATCCACTCACTACGCTCTTATGTCTTGCTCGACTACCATCCATCGTGTGGGGGTCGTGATAAGGAGGCACGTGAGCCATGAATCTTATCATCTATGCTATTTCACGTTACATGGAATGTCAACATTGATTTGTATTGTAGATGGTGCGGAAGTATACGAAGGCTTCATTCTTATCACGTCCACCCTGCTATAGACAATCAAATGCAATAAACATAATAATGTGGATTCAATCAAGAATCAGATGTTATCTATGTCATACGAACTGCCTGATTTTTGCGATGAGATTTCATCATGTTATATGTCTGACGTTTATTAGATCTAACATGCTACAATGGATCCTAAAGATTTCTCTCACGAGCCAATCGAATGGTTCCGATCTCATTCAATCACAAAATCTATGACAAGCTATCAACACGTGAATATGATAGCTTTGGTAGGGCATGCAATCATATTGACAAGAAATCATCCAACGCAATCAAACAAGCATAAACTCATATGACAATAGTCAAGCAATACATCGGCTAAGGGGTAAGGACCTAAAGGGCTCAAAAACCTACAAAAATGAAGGGTTTAGATACTCATACTAACATGGGCTTACAGGGGATGAAAAGGGAGAGATTAGAAATCCATCGTTGAAATCGGCTACCAAACCCCTAGAATAGCAATCGAGCCCCCTTTTAGGTACTGATCTGCTCCTCTATCCTCGAGCTTTGGAGTTACCCTGGCCTGGAGGAAGAGAACCCTCCCTGTCGAATTGTGTGCAACTTGGAGCTCGATGGGATGTATATATAGCTCCCCAAAGTAGGTTTTCCTTGGGATTTCTAGGTTTAATTCGTGTTCTGGAGCATACTGACGAAACCCAATTTGTATGGTTAAAATGCTATAACATGCTATAAAATGAAGGGATAAAAATATATATTTTACGTGTCATCACATACGAGAGCGGATCCAGTGACTAAGGGGGGTGCTTAGTCACTTGACTAAGCCCCTCCCAGCCCTTAGATCTGGACACTTCAATCCAATGGTTAAAAAGTGGGAAGGGCTATTTAATTAATGACAGGGGTAGTTTGGGTATTATGGAAAATTACGAAGTATACAAACCGGATTTACAATCAGTACAAACCATACGAACAGTACAAACTAGAGCGACAAAACATACAAACATTACAAACGTATGAACTGTACAAACAATACAAACTAGACTGACAAACAATACAAACCATACAAAAAGAAAAAACAACCGGGTTGACTTTGGAGGCTCCATCCCTATATAGAGGGGCTCCTTCCCAAAGTCAACCCGGGTGTTTTTTTAGACATACAAACAGTACGAACATGGTGGACAAAAATGACAAACTAGACCGACAATCCATACGAACGGGAAAAAACACCCGGGTTGACTTTGGAGGCTCCATCCCTATATAGAGGGGCTCCTTCCCAAAGTCAACCCGGGTGTTTTTCAGACATACAAACAGTACGAACATGGTGGACAAAAATGACAAACTAGACCGACAATCCATATGAACGGGAAAAAACACCCGAGTTGACTTTGGAGGCTCCATCCCTATATAGAGAAGTTCCATTCAAAAGTCAACCAGGTTGTTTTTTAGACATAAAAAACATTACAAACATGGTTGACAAAAATGATAAACACGGTTCACAAAAATAACAAAGTTTACGAACATTACAAAAAAACTGACAAACATTACAAAATAACAAAGCGTACAAACATTACAAAATAAACCAACAAACAGTACAAAACATACTAACCGTACAAAATGTCACTAAAAATGACAAACAATACAAACCGAATCTATACAAACATTACAAAATAGGTCAGCAAACATTACAAACGCTACGGAGAGAGAGAGCTGGTGGAGACAACTCATAGAGTTCAAATACAAGGCTAGCAATTCCCAGTGGCAGAGCAAACAGTGCAGGAATGGGTTTGGAAGTTCGGTGTGGGCCAACATCTCGAAGGAATATGGTGAGTTCTGGAAAGTGGCAGTTATTGACCCGGGCGGCGGGGCTGGTGTTTCCTTTTGGAACGACTGCTGGTTACCTCAGACGACTCTTGCGCATTCCTTCCCGAGAGTTGCCGCTGCCGCCGCGAATCCCGAGGCTTTGCTGCCTGATGTCACAATCCGATCAGGTGAGGGTCCTAATTGGAATATTGAGTGGAACATCGATTTTTCTTTAGTTTTGAGGGGAGGGGCTGAGAGGGAGAGAGAGAGTTTCTTCACTTTCTTGAATTCTATTGATAAGCACAGGATTGTTTGCGGCCCCAGCAGATTGGCGTGGTGTTTTAATACCGATTCGAGCTTTTCAGTGCGCTTCATGTACAGGTTATTGACGGATGGGCGATTCCCTGGGGTGCCCAACTTCCCTAGTGAATCCGTGTGGAGAAAGTGCATTCCTTCGAAAATCAACGCGTTCATGTGGATGGTCGCGCACAAGAGGATCTTGACGCTGGACAAAATCCAACAGAGGGGCTGCTCCAATGCTAACAGATGTTGTATGTGTTGTAGGGATGAAGAATCGGTTGATCATCTGTTTACTCGGTGCGAGTTCGGGTTGGAGGTCTGGACTGAAGTAAGAAGAATGTGTGGTGATTCCTTCGCCCCACAAGAGCAGATCCTAGACACCATCCAGTGTTGGAAGAGTGATGTTCCGGACACTACGACGGATTGGATCGGTTTCTGCATTCTCCACGCCGTGTGCTGGCAAATTTGGCTCGAGAGGAATAGGCGTGTTTTCCAGGATGCTAGCAGAAGCGCCAAGGAGGTCTTTTGGATTGCTATCAGATCCACGGCGGATTGGCTAGTCGTGAAAGGCAAGATAAGCAGGATTCAGGTGATGGAGTGGCTCCGCCCCCTGAGGCTGAACTGACCCAGGGGCATTCTTCTGTGGGGTTTGTTGCCGTGGGTTCGTTTGCCGGCTGTTGTCGTGTTTGTAGGTTGCCTTTCAGGTGCTGGGTTTGTTGGACTCCTCTGCTGTCCGTGTTCGGGTTCGGGTTGCTGGTGGCGGCCGGGTTGTTGATCGCGCCTCGCCCCTGTCCCCTGTCTTCTTTTTTTTCTCTGTCTGTTTTTTCCTCTGTTCTTCTCAGTGCTGGTTGTGGTCGGATGGGGCTTTGTTTCCCGATCGTTTGACAGTTTGGTCTTGGTCTTGGTCCTTGTTTCGTGAGGGGCTTAGCTCTCCTTGCGTGGCTGTCCTTCTCAGGCTGTCGGATGTTTCTTTTTTCTTTTTCGTTTCTTTTCCGTGGGTGCTGCACCTCTGGTGCCGCTTTTTCCTTTCTGTATTTTGGATTGGTTTCGTTTTGGCTCCTTTTTAATGCAATTCTCACCCTTATCAAAAAAAACATTACAAATCCAACACTGTCGCCGGGAAATTTCCTCCGGTCACCGGAAATCTCTCTCTCTCTCTCTATATGCAGAATGCCATGTCCCCACAATTCCCCAATTCCCCATCTCTCTCACACGCATAATGACATGTCCAAACAATTCCCCAATTCCCCATCTCTCTCTCACTTACCTGTTGGGGACCGAATTCACCAGCAGCAGCCCAAAAAAGCATGCTCCTCCAGGGTCAGCTTCTCCTCCGCGAATTTGATCCAGAAACGAGTCACGGCTCTCTCGCAAGGATCGGCGGGAAGCAGTGGGTAGGATTTGGAGAATGAATCGTCCACCGCTATGGATTAGAAATTCACCGGTGGCAGGTACAAATTTCACCGGCGCCCAGGATCGGAGAGGGTGAGTGGTACGGACAGAAAATAATCTCACCGCCTCAGAAAATTTCCAGGACCGGCGGCAGGTGCAAAATCCCTTCGGCGGCCGCGATCGGAGAAGTCGAATGGACAAAGCTCTTTTTTATTTTTTTATTTTAATTGTTAAATAAATAAATTAAGTAGTTACCATCTTGCCCTTCATTAAATCAGATAAATCTGAACCATTAGATTTTAATGAGCATCAATGGCTGAGATTGGCTTAGTCATATGACTAAGAGACCCCCCCTTAGTCACCTGATCTTAGCCCATCACATACAAGACTCCGTCAATTTGTATGGTTAACTAGAAGTGAGATCTTCTTCGATAGAGAAGTCGTGGGGTGGGATAAGATTAGGGTTTGCATATCAATTTAATGTACAAATTATTATATGATACACTTAATTCCAATTATATTTCAGTATTTAAATGTCAAACCACTACAAAGTACATATATTCCTGTTAGAATTTGTATAAAATGTGTCAACTGGATTGACTCCGATTCAACCAATTAATCGCGATCCAGTAGCTTGATCATATCAACGGGTCAATCCAAGTATAACCTTGCTCCAATGTTTACAAATGTGAACAACTAAACCTTCTATTTACGTAACTTTTTCCTCCTTTTGAAAGAGGGTCGGTCCTATGATTGGTTCAGTGGTCCAAGATGGTGGCTATTCTTTGATTGGGAACTTGGGTGGTCACTATAAATGCAAGCTACTATGTACAACTAACTAGATGTAGCCTTGTGACCCCATCCATCGATTCTCCATCTCTCATATGCATAAAAGTACTAATTTTTTCAATCGAAATCAAATTGTATTAAAGAATTCAATTTAGTCCAAAACAACTTAAGAAGATGTGCATTGCTATCCGCCGAAAAGCGCGGGTAAATTATCTAGTAAACTCACATAACACTAGTTAAATGATACGATACATCGTATAAGTACCCTTTAGGATTCAAAAACCAATACAAAGGGTTTAGCTACTCATTCTAACAGGGGGCTTGTAGGGGAGAGAAGTGAGAGATCAGGATTTCGTTGTCGAAATTGTCCGTCAAAACCCTAGAATAGCGGTCAAGCTCGATCTTCTTCTTTGTGTTTTCTGGCTGATTCTCAAGCTCTCGAGCTAACCTGGAGGCAGAGCAATCCATGTTGAATTGTGTGAATTGAAGCTCAATGGGATGCATATACAACTCCCTAAAATAGGTTTCCCTTAGGGTTTCTAGGTTTGATTCGTGTTCTGGAGCATACAGCCCAA